CCTTGTTCTCTGAGACACAAACTATTGAAAACTGGAACTATTTAACGCAGTAAATTCCAACTTTTCTATGTAATAATTATCGGATCAAACTTCAATGATAACGACATGAGTTGACTACGAACATGCATGGTGGAGTAGGAACTGGACAGCACCTTCGCGCATCATCGAGACTTTCAAAGGTTTTAATTACAGTGTAAATTTGAATTTATATAATATTAAATTTGATTGAATTTTATTTTTAATTTAAATTTAATTTAATATAAAAATTAAATTATTTGAATTTGTTTCATTAGATTTGATTAATTTACAAAAATAAATTTAATTCTTATTTGATAAAAATTTGATTATTTATACTTAAATTTTAGATATTTTATTAATTAAAATATAAAAAATTAATTAGATTCATTAATTATTTAAATTGAATATAAAAATATTCGAATTTAATTTGATCAATAAATCAAATTATCTGAACTCGAATTTTATTCAATAATAATCAAATTAAATTTAAATTTTATTTAAATAAAATTTAAATAATTTATGAATATTAATATATCATCTGCATCTCTAGCTTTAACGATGACATTAAATTACCACCGTTACTAACATCTCCAATTTCACAACATCAGTTCTGGCTTCCTCATCATTTTCAACCAGCTTTCAACTATCCATTCGGAAGCCTATTCTGTTAATTTTGTTGCTTGATCCACTCAATTTCAACACATTTTCTGCAACAGATCATGACTCCAAAACTGTAACCATCTACCTTTTACTGTAACCGGCGGTGTTTTTGAACCACTCTGCTGCCGCATATATGCCCTTTAGTCTAATAGCAGATCTAAGATTTTTTCGGATAAATTTATCAATTTTATCAATAAAAAAAATGTTAAAGAAAAAATTTTAAGTGTCAAAGAGAAAATTTTTCTTTCAAAATGCTTACGCCAATCAAAAATCAGATATTTAGGCTATTAGAGAATCATCCAAGAATAAAAAAAAACTTGTGATAAATTTGTTTAATATCCAATAAATTTAGAATTTAAATTCTAATTCTTTTTTCTCGTTTTTTTGTGGACTTATGATTCCTTTTATATAAAAAAGTCCTTCAAGTTATATATATATATTGTTAGGTTTGGTTTTCTTCACGTGGAAGTGGCTTAAAATCAAAGTTCATTCATCAATGATCTTTTAATCCTTTTATGTTTGGTTATAGGGTTTTAATCCTTATATGAGAAAAAAGAAACAAGTCTGGTACGGTGCCAATAGAAAAAAAAAAGTTTTGTGTAATTTTGATTAAATAATTTGATTGAGGTCAATTTATTATTTAATTGAACTAAAATTTTATCAATGTATTCATAATTAATTGTTTTTTAATTTAAACGATAGAGATCGAATTTTGAGTTATTTACCTACTGATTCATAAGTATTTGTTAACCTTTAAATTTACTAAATTTTTTTCATTTTTTTCTTGTAAGATTATTTTTTTATCAAAATCATTTAATATTGAACTATTGTGATTGGGTACCTCTAGTTTTGTTAGAGATAACTTTATATTTTTATTATTTTAATAGTGAAGATTATTTATTATTGTTTGTAATTTTTACTCCTCATTTTAAAGAAGTTTTTGATGTAAATTGTTTATGTCTTTTATGTTTGTGGTTTGATGATTTATTTATTTATTTTATTTATTTAATCCCGACTAGATTCACACAAAAGAATAGCAATTTAATTTTTCGTTACGTGATATATTTGATTTGAATATTATTTGAAGTTATTTTATCATATATATAATTCAATCATCTATTATAAAAAAGGTTGAGGCAAGTTAAATTCCTGAAATGGCACATCTTGTGATAGCAAAACCAAGTGCAGATGTGTATACAGAAGATAGAGACAAAAAAATACAGTTGGCTACTAAAGATAAATACTACAACCTGTAGTCTTCATCCATTTGGAGACTTCCCACATCAAATTTGGTTCCTGTACTACTACTATATATTCATTTTCAAGAGTTCTAGATTGTTTAACAATTGATAAAGAAATTGTTAATTTTTTTGCAAATTGAAACTCCTGAATAATAATTTATTTCTTTCCAACATGCTGCTTAGCTAGCTTTTCATTTTGTAATTACTAATTTGATTTATATATTTAGTCAGAACCTACTTGATCATGTTTTTATTCAAAAAAATTATATTTTATCAATACTTTTACCACTTCAGTATGTAAAAAAAAAAAAAAAAAAACTATCCATCAATTAAAATTTCTCTTTTCTTTTTAACTTTTACTGTAAACAACCAAGTTGTTTTAGCCTAAAAAATGGTCAGAACATATTGAATTTTTTAATCTGTTTGAAATCACTTTATATTATTATTATTTTTGTATTATAGTCATATATCTCAAAATTTACTTGAATATAATTAGGATCCATTTGAATGGGTAGTAAAATTAGTTTAGGTGAGATTAAAAATAATAATAATTAAAGTTACTATAGTTAAGGTTAAAAAAATTTTATAAAAAAATTTATTTTGAATAAATCTCATTAGAGTTAACATTTATATTTAATTAATAGTGTGATGAACTCAATTGTATGATACAATTGAGTTCATTACACTATCAATTGAATCCAAATTCTAATTTCAATAAGATTCATTTAGAATAAATTTTTTTTTGTCAATTGCAGCTTAAGTAATTTTTTTTTTTTTTTTTGCAATCGCAATTAAAGTAACAATTTTAAATAACAATTTCAATAATACATTGTGGTGCATATCAATTAAAGTACCTAAAAATATCAGGGGCTGAATCAATGAGGGAGACCCATCAAACAATCAATGCATTTACAGGACCACCTGCCCGAAGCAGAAATATTGTCCATACTCCTTAGCCCTTTGTCACGCGGTTTTTCAGCCCACAGAAGCTCTTAACCACTATCTTTGCTTCAGCACATGGTTTCTAAGAGATTTTTCCGTATTAATAATTCATATATTTATATAATATAAAATAATATTAATTCATATATTTATATTATATTTTAAATAAAAATTATATTATAATTTATATTAATATAATAAATATAAAATATATATTTTAATTTTTATTAAAATTATATATAATTTTTATTACAATTTTAAATCATACCATATTTATGATTTTTTTTTTCGACCCCATTAGGCAATTGATAGGCTAAAGCAAGAAATCTAGTGATTTAACATTGGCAGAAAATTTGGGTATGGCCAACCAATGTCTCCAATGCCAATTGATTAGCTTTGGAGAGAGGATTCTTCCTTTAATGCCCCATTTGCATTTTATCCAAATTCATTCATCAGTCTTCAGCATTCAATATAGAATGTAGATAGACACCATCTTCCCCCCCCCCCCCCCCCTCCCCCCTCTTTGCTGTTTTCTCTTAATTTTTGTTTCAATCTTGTAACTTTAACCTCCCACTGACCTTTTCTTTCTTTTTAATTTTATTAATTTCATTTGATTATATTTCAGCACCTTTTTTTTTAATTCTTAATTTATTTTTAATCTCTTTTATTTTATTATTTATCTTATTGAAAAAAAATATTATACGGATAAATTTTTTTAAACTCATAACTATCACGTATTAATTGATTTAAAAGATAGTCGACTTCGACAACATCTCTTAATGATGGTTGACTTGACATATTTTCCAAATTATGGATTGGCATTACCACACTTTTGTTTTATTTTCTCATTTTTTATTTGGGTTAATTTAATCAATTTTTTTTTATTCTTAATCAATTTGAATACACTAAACAAAAAAGAAGTAATGTGTAATCACATGATTGACAATGCTACTAAAAATATTATCAGTCATGTATATATCATGATACATGATGAAAAATACAATTAAATTGATTCGAAATAAAAAAAAAAAAAAAATCCTTTTAACATAAGTTTTGTTGTACCTTATGGATTTTGATAGCTTTCCACAAACTAAATCTTGTCCTAATTAAAAGCAACTTTAGAGATCAAAGGTAGCTTTCTTTTCCTTTACCAAAATCATGAAAATGATGGAAACACTTCTTCAATACCACAAAAGCTATTGTGATTTTGAGGTCTTCTCACCTAATATCATTAATATTTATTTTGTTTTAAAAGAGTTTGAGCTTCTAATCTCTTGTATTCTAGAGTGTTTTCATTACGTAATTATCATATAAAACTTGAAAAGAAATCGAATTAATGAAATTGTATCATGAAAATCATGCATATCATGGATATTTCACAATCATGATAATTTTAATTCCTTGCTAACTTATGATGTCTTTTATTAAAGGATTAATTTTATGAATGATTTTTGAATTATAATAAAATATTTAATGTGACATTTAAATTTTAAAAATCTTTAATGTGATATTTAAGTTATGAATTTGTTAATTAATATAATATTTATCCTTAACATAATTAATTTGAAATAATAATACACGATAAATAAATAATATTTTAAATACTATATTAATTAAAATTCAATTATATCAAAAGCAATTTTTAATATAGTAATCTTAAAAATATTCTAGCAAATTCAATAACTGATAGAGTGCTGCTCTCTGGGGTTTTTTTTTTTTTTTTGTGTCATTAATATTTAATTTGTTTTGAAGGAGTTTGAGCTTCCAATCTCTTGTATGCTAGAGTGTTCATTACGTAATTATAGCATACAACTTGAAAAAAAATCAAATTAATGAAAATATTTCGTGAAAATCATGAATACCATGCATATTTCCACAATTATGTCAATTTTAGTATGTGTTACTGTTATAAATAATTTTTGATTTATAATAAAAATATTTAATAAAATATTTAAATTTAAAAAATTTTTAATACCATATTTGAATTATAAATTTATTAATTAATATAATATTCATCTTTAATATAATTAAATATAAAATAATGACACTTGATAATCAAATAGTTCTTTAAGTTAATTAAAATTCAAGAATATCAAAAGCAATTTTTAATAAAATAATCTTAAAAAATATTCTAACAAAATTCAAAAACTGATAGAGTGCTGCTCAAATCACTGGTTTTTTTTTTTATGAGAATCTTTAATGGCTTCCTTGCTAATTCGTGCGTGCATTAGTTTAGCTGTGGGGCTTAGCCCTCATAAATGCCTTCCTCCATTCCTGACTCTATAAATGCTTGTATTTACACCACGAACTGCCTTATCGTTAAAACCAGGCAAGCTCTTTCATTTTTCACACTTTTTTTTCTCTTCTCTACACCCTTTTTTGAGATCGTTTCCAATGATAAAAAAGTGGTTTCCTGGCATAACTGAGGTGGCATTTAGGTGTGGAGAGGCTGTCTCTTTGTGGGTTTTTGCTGCAATGAGAGATCTTGGATTTGGGTTCTTAATTGAAGTGTTGAAGAGAACTGTCTTTGCTGCTTTCACCTGCATTTTTGCTTTAGGTAAGTCTTCTGTCATCAGAAAGTAACACATATTCAGTGCTACTGGTTGCTGCTTTCTTTAATGATATGATGATCCCAATTTTGTACAACAGTATATGTTTTCTTCAGCTTTTCGGTTACTTGGTTTGGTTCATCAATAATGTCACCAGCACTTCAGTTTTGTACAATTTTTGCTTACTCCGAAACAGAGCTAAGTACTTTCCAAGCATTAAAATTTAAAAAAAAAAACAGTTTCATTATTGAAATCTGTGTCTAAACCAGAAATCCTTTAGCATTCTTAGTTTCTTTGAGTCACCACATATAAGTAGATCTAGCAATTCATATATTTCATATCAAATACATGTAAAACACGAAAATTATTCTATCAAAATTCATATGAACACATGAATAGATAACTTTTTTTTTTTACCAAATCCATATAAGGTCTTTGTCAAAATTTTAAATTGTTTTTGCTTTTATATATTTTTGGTATCATTTTCTTGTTGTGGAGTGCCTAAAATTGCCAGTCTATTTACAAGCAATCTTCAGATATGATAAATTAATACATCAGCACTTTTAACAGCTTGAGCTTGTTAGTTACCTCTTGGAATACTCAATTACATCAAAATGTCTATGCAGACCAGTAGAATTTATCTTGGCCTATCATCTGTTTGAACCCAAGTTTTTATTTGGTTTTTGTAGGAGGGGCTATAGTAGGAACTTTTGTAGGAGCAATGAAAGGCCAAACAACAGAAACTGGATTTTTCCGGGGAGCTGGAATTGGTGCTGTTGCAGGTGCAATCACAGCTGTTCAATTGCTGGAATCATTGGCTGATGGGGAGTCATTGTCCAAGGTATATATAGTAGCATTTTGCTGATACAATCTTGAGATATAACTTCCAGGTTACCATATTTTAGCATTGCATTAATTTCATCCTTCACTTCTGACATCCATGTGGACAAATGCTTTTTTTAACTACCCTTTGGTGCAATGGACATCAAAGGAAAAAAATGGTAATTCCATCTTTAATTTGCTCTTTTACAGGGAGCCTTATTAGCTAGCTTAGTAAATGGGAAGGTCTTCATCGAATGGGTAAGTCCAGCAGTGCTAAAAGCTTATCAATGGCAAGTAAGTAAAATTTCTCGGTAGGCAAACATAATTATAGCTTCTTTTTTTTTTTAAAGCAATGGTGATTTTGGTTCACTTTTCATCTAATCTCGAACCTGATGAAATTTCAGATGAACTCACTTGAATCGACATACCGAGAAATCTCAGACATATACGATGTAAATGGAGCAAAGGGATTGTCTAGAAGTTGCATTGAAAAGCTTCCAGTGCATGAATTTCATTCCAGTGAGATGATCAAATCAAGGGAAGAACCTTCTTGTTCAATTTGCTTACAGGTAAGAACAATGACTTATGATTCAAGGTCTCAAGAAGAACAAAAACAATGAGAGAAACATGTTTTTATTTACCAGATAACAATCAAATGATATGTTTCTATACTTTTAGGGGCTAAAGGATGGAGAATTGACAAGAAATCTTCCTAGATGTGGGCACTTCTTCCACTTAAAGTGCATAGATGAATGGCTGAGCAGGCAAGGCACCTGTCCGATGTGTAGAGAACATGTTTTTAATGATGCTGAGGAATTGTTCAAATTTTGATTCACCAAAGAACAAAAATGGTGATTGGGTTTTGAATTGTGTCAATGTTAAACTTGGAAGGAGAATGAATGTTGATGGAATATGATGTAAAAAGGAAGAAAAAAAAAAATCTGTTGTATATAGTCCATTGCAAGGTTTCCTAGCAAGTTTCATTTTAGCATATGGCAACTCCTTCCAAATAATATGTATATACTTTTTCTCTTAAAAATTAGTTTAAATGAATAATATATTTCTACTCATAATTCTTTAATTATTATTATCCAATTTAGTAAGGCATAATAGCTTTTAAATCATCACCATTTAGAATTGAGGTTAAAGAAATTAACCATGAAAAAAAGTTAATCTTTGAAGATGAGTTGCCTTCAATATGGATTCAAAAAGTTTTTTTTTTTTTTTTCATAGGTCTTAAATTTACAAATTTTAACAATCAAATATAAAAAAAATTCAAAAGTAACTTTAAAAAAATCATTTTCAATGTTTCAAATATATATATATTTGAACTGAATTCATTAATTTTATATAAATAAAATTATTTGAATTCGCATAAAAATATATATATAGAGTAAAATTTAAAAATCTCTTAAATAAATGGGCTATATCTAAACCCAAATTATAACCAATATGGGCTAACATTATCAATTTGGGCTTCACCAATAAAGGGTAAACTCGTAAATATGTAATATTATTCCCCAAATTACAACTCCTTCATAAGAGTTAACACGGGTGAAAAAAAATTTAAAAAATAAAAAAATTTTGAAAATTGTAATATTTAATTTGATTTGAACCAATTTTTTTTATTTAATTTGAATTAAAATTAAATATTAAATATATATTAAATTTAAATTGACTTTTAGATTAAAAAATACAAAAAAAATTTGAATTGAATTAAATTATATATTTTTAAAATTTTTATAAAATAAAAATAATTATTTTATATAAATTTATGTAAATATATTAAAATTTTTATTAAAATAATTTAAAATTTAAAAAATAATAAATTAAATTAAACTGATAAAATAAAATTAAAAAATTAATTTAAATTTAAATTTAAATTTAAAATTTTATAATATTATATATCATAAAACAAATTCGATTCAATCCAACCATATCCCCGAAGAGATAAGACCAAGGACAAGGAAAGAGACAGAGAAAGGGTGAAATGGCTTGGTGTAGTTTAAGGTCAATCCATGTTCCAACCATCTATATGGGTGAACCACTCGCTGTCCATTGGTGGGGGCTGCAGGAGTTGTTGCTGGCTCTTACCTTTGGCTATCTTCACCCAGAAAACGCTCTCCTTTTGCTTGCTTATGCCTCTCCACTTCCCACTGGTAGAAAACAATGATTGTCAGTCAAATAACAGCTTTATCTTTTTCTTACCCTTTGATTTTGAGTTTTCTTTGATTGGTTGTTAATGGGTGATTTTTTTTTTTGGACTTGAATGTTAGTTTTAGTTGAATCTTGAAAGTGTTACTTTCAATTAAGTAAATGTGGATTTTTGGACTTGAATTTACAATAGTTAATTGATATTTTACATTGATTCATTTGTATTTTAGGAACTTTATTGTGCATGGAAGACGAATATTTGATAGCCAGAATGTTACTGTTTCCTGTTGTAAAATACAACCTTGAATTTTATTCAATGTTGTCATGTTTGGCTGTGTATATGACTAAATATCAAAGGTTTCTGAGTCATGACCATGTCTTGGAATTTAGGGATGAAGGAGGCTGTGGCAACTTAGAAAGCTCCAGCAGCATAGGGACCATATTCACAGGCCATCAAGGCCAATAATCTTCTCTTTGTCTCTGGTGTTCTTGGTCTTATTCCAGAGGTTTGTGATATGTTTATTGAAGATTCTTGACATACCAAGGTCATCGTCCTAGATTTCCCTTATACGCAAGGTACCGATTATGTCGATTTTTTCTATTCCAGACTAAAGTGGAATAGACTTAACGCTTGAATTATTATCTGGCATTACAATAAACCAGCGTGTTCTGCAGGCCAGATATTCAATGGATGCCAATGTCATTGCATTTTCAGCTAATCTGACTGAAAATTCTAGTTTCGCCTAAGAACTTTGGCTGCTGTTACATGTATTAATCTGAACATTGCATCGAAATAAAATCCGACAATTATATGTGGGGAGTTTTACTTGTTGATTGATGAAGCTCTCAACATCTGTAGAAACCAGACATGTTAATTCTGTCTCCCAACATGGTTTGTGTTGCAGACTTTCCTTCACCTGCTCCAGCTCGTTCAACATATCAGGTAGCAGCACTGCCATTGTGTCATGGGCCGCGCGTTTCTTAGTTTGAAATCATGCGTCCGTGTTGCACCAAGGCTACTCATAGTCAAGGTCAGCCTTTCTCGAATCCATTTTTCCATGGATAGGTCGATGGATCCTTCAAGTTGCACATTAGTGAGCCTTTCCTAGCTCAGACCCTTTAGGGTCACACTTTCTCAAACTTGATAGGGAGGAACCCAACTGCCATCAACATATCAATCCATGATTCTCACGGTGGCTTCGAGCATCCATCTCAACTCGTTGGGCTTAAGGTCTTGAGCACCGACCCTTGAATTCTCATAGGAGTGCACAACCCTAGTTTTCATGATATTATTACTTTTTGGCATGGTGAAAACCCAACACCATGCCTGCCTGCATCGTACACAAGCTTTCGTGTCAAGATCCCGTAGGCACAATACATATGCTGGTCAGCAACCAGTCCGGAGCCTTTAGGCTCATCTTATCCCATAAAACTCAGTTCTTATGGCCTAAGCTCTTACCTTCAATTTAGGTTGTCCGCACGCATGATTGACACCCAACATCATGCTAGTCCCGCATGGAGAATTTAAGTGTGCTGCCTGAGCTGCAGCATCCCTTTATTGATTAGTCACAAGGGTCTAGCAGCGTGTCTGCTTGATAGTCTGCTCATACTTCAGGCTTGATGGTGTATTTTACTATCCAAACACCATCTTATGAGCCTTTCGGTTCAAGAAAGAGAAATCAAGGGGCATAGCGAATGTTACCGCCTAACCTCATAACTCAACGCGAAAGCACAATACGAGGCCTATCAGCCTCAACCGTCTTCGGGTTTATCATGACTCAAGAAGACATTATGCCACACTTGTGACCTTACGATGTCCACCCACCTAGACACCATATGTGTATAGGAGTAGCTCATTTCAGACTAGTTAGGTCTTTGCTTGTCTGTTAGCCAAAGGATGATGGAGAGCTGATACTAGTCGTCTTCTTATAAAGAGTGTAAGATTTTTTTAGTCTCTTACTAGGAATCGTAAGACTGTTTGAAATGGGGATACTTTTCTCTCCAGTCATCTCAAGGCTTTTCTCCAATTAAATTAAGGCCTTGTAATGTTCCTCTTGGTCACCATAATTCTTTGATTCTGTTTGTTGCTCCACCAATTCACTCAAGAGTGCTTGTACACGATTTCGATCGATAACGCTCGATCGGTTAATTGGTTTTAGGGTTCTGCCCACTACTTCGTATTTGCTCGCATATATTGGGGCCTAAGGTTCACATTATCCACACATAATATCAATGACATGTTCTCATGCTCAAAATGTTCGTACACATCTTTAATCGATGGCATTTGATTAGTTACTCGACTCGAGAGTATTAACCCATTGGCTTGAACTTGCCTACGTATTTTGTAATCCAGGGTCATATTGCCCATACATTATGTCAACAACCTATTCTCATGTTTAAAATGTCCGTACATATATTCTAAGATCATCATTCCGTCAATTTGATCTCAACAACTACTTAGTTCAGGGTCAGTCATGACAGAATCGAGGCATACCAAGGCCTGATCATGATACTTTTCCCCACTTACTATGTCGATACTCATATCGATGCCAAGATCACACCCAATTCTCTCATTGCACACAATTGACATTTACTTATATGCCTTTCACTTGTGCCCTCAATGGATTGGGTCGAGATCTCGTCACATAGGGCATCGTCCACAATACTCATCCATTATCGATGTAAATGGGTCTCATACTAGCTTTAATGTACCTCTGTTATGTTTCCATTTCGGATCATTAAATTTTATCTCGATTACTCAATTTGTGCTATAACACAGCTTCACCCACGATCACATCATGTTGCGACCTCGAGGCACCCTTGTTGATTATAACCTTCAGTAGAATAAATGAACACCAATTTTGTCACACATTGGTGTGTTTCACTGGACGAGACCCCTCACACCAACACACGTCTGCGACACCTACTCTTCGATGCTCTCTGGATGTGGTGTTGAGGTCAATCGTACTTATACGGCACCACACATAATAGACCCTAACATGGTGGCTTTTAAACACTTTGATCATCTCACAACTTAGGTCCTTTCGACCCTTTCAAGGTTATTTTAAATAAGACCCTTTGGCCAACCGTCCTCGTGACGGCACCTTAACATGCGCTATCTCGGTCACTATCTCAAACTCAAACATAGTGCTCAATAAATTCATGCTCCACTACCTTGGCTCAGTTCCATGGGGAATCACAAGTTTTCCTCACATTTACTTGAATTCAACTTGACTCTTTACGCAACCATGTCTCCTCAATGGTTTCACAACTCGTTTGTCTTAACTATGGCATAGCTCATAAGGCATCGCAAAGCCCATTCAATACTCAAGGATCCATTGATCCAAGCAATCACATTGTCCACTGACTTGCTTGACTCAAGGGTTCACTAATCCGTTCTATACTTAAGGTTTGTTGACCTACCTGAACTCAAGGCCATCCCTTAGGTTAGCATTTTGCTCAATCTCAATCGACTTATCTTTTCCCTTACTCAAACTCGTCCTGTCCACTGATCGGATGCATAACTCAAATGCCTATACCTTCGGCATACTCAACTCGATCGGTCTTTTGACCCATACATCTCAAGGCCTTGTCAACTGGCTAATTCCCTGTTGCTTGTTCCATTAAACTACACACTGTCATGGCTCGCTAACCACTACCATTCATAACGTCATTTCTCTCGACCAACTCAAAGCATGGTCATTGACTAGCACACTCAGGTGATCTCCTAACCACAAAAACTCGATCCATCGACCATCACTCACAACTTCAATCTTCTACCAACTTCTTCAACCTTTGTAGAATGGCTTCAAACTTGGACCCAAATGCTCAGTTCGTACCCCCGTCAGGGTACCTGCATCATACAACAAGTGCACATATTAGTAACTAATCTTCATACGCATAACTTATGTCTTTCAGGACAAAACTCGCTTTGGCCCACATAGCCTTATTCATACACCATTTCATGGTGTATGCCTTTTTTGCCTCTCAGTCTCACTACAGTTTCTTTCACTGTAAGGGCATTACATGCTCATACATGCCAACATTTTTTTTAGGTGAGGCTAGACTCTTATGCCATTTTGCTTGGCATTCAAGAGCTTACTCATAGTCAAGCCTTGGTGTGTCTCAGTTTTGTCATGATTGACCCTGAACTAAGCAGCGATTGAGGTCAAGTTGGTGGGATGGTGGTTATGGAGCATATGTGCAGGCATTTTAAACATGATAATAGCTTGCTGACATAATGTGTGGGCAGTGTGAGCCTTGGGTCGCAAGATGCGTAGGCAAGTTCAAGCTAGTGGGAGGGTACCCTTGAGTTGGTAGTCAGTCTTATGCCATCGGTTGAAGATGTGTGTGGGCATTTTGAGCATGAAAATATGTCGCTGATATTATGTATGAACAGTATGAGCCCTAGCCTTAAAATATGTTGGCAAGTGCAAAGTAGTAGGCGGGTGCCTTGGAACCAGTTAACCAGTTGGGTGCTGTTGATCGAAATCATGTGCGGGCATCTTTGAGTAGGTTGGTGAAGCAACAAGCAGAATTAGAAAATTATGGTGACTAAAAGAAACGTCACATGGCCCTAAGTTATGGAGAAAGGCCCTATGATGGCTAGGAAGAAAAGTGTCATCATTTCAGACAATTTTACGGTTCCTAGTAGAAGAATGAAAAAATATTTTACACTTTTTATAAGGGGATGACTGGTGTCCACTTTTCATCACCCCTTTGGCTAGCGGGCAGGCAAGGGCCTGACTAGTCTGAAGTGAGCTACTTTTAAACATCTGTGGTGTGTAAGTGGGTGGGCATCGTAGGGTCACGAGTGTGGCATGATGTCTCTTTGGCTCATACTAAACTTGAGGGCGGTTAAGGCTGATAGATTTCGTATCGCATTTTCGTGTTGAGCCATGAGGTTAGGTGGTAATATTTGTTATGCTTTTCGATTTTTCCTTCTTGAGTTAGAAGGATCATAAGATGGTGTTTGCGTAGGAGATGCACCATCGAGCTTGGGGATGTTTAAGCTAGTAGGCAGGCATGCTGCTAAACCCTTATGGTCAATCGATAGAGGGGTGCTACAGTTAGGGTGGCACACCCAAGTTTTTTATGCAGGACTAGCATGATGTTGGGTGTCAATTATGTGTGCGGGTAGCTTAAATTGAGGTTAAGGGTTTAAGCTTTAAGAATTGAGTGTCATGGGATAAGATGAGCCTAGAGGCTCCAGGTCGGCTATTGACCAGCATATGTGTTATGCCTGTAGGATCTTGGCACGAGAGCTTGCATACGATGCAGACAGGCATGGTGTTGGGTTCTCACCATATCAAAAAATAATAATATCATGAGAACCGAGACTGTGCACTTTTATAAAAATTCAAGGGTCGATGCTAGGGACCTTAAGCCTTGCGTGCTGAGATGGGTGCTCGAGGCTACCATGAAAATCATGGACTAAAATATTGCTAGGAGTTGAGTTCTTTCTTATCAAGTTTGGGAATATGTGCCCTTAAGGGGTCTGAGTCAGAAAAGGCTCACTAATGTGCAGCTTGAAGGATCTATTAACTTGTCCATGGGAAAATGGACTCGAGAAAGGTCGATCTTGACTATGAGTAGTCTTGGTGTCACTCAGACGCGTGATTTTAGAATAAGAAATGCGTAGCCGTGACATTATGGTATCAAAGCAGGCCTAAACTGTTCGATCCACGATAAGCGCCTCAAGAGAGGTAGATAGCGTGATCAGTCTCTGTGATGAGAGTGTCATGAAATTGAGTTAAGGAGAATATCACGCCAAGCATTTCAAAAAGGAGTAAACATGGTACTTTTATTCCATATCAAATATGAAAAGGGGTATTAAAGTATAAAAAGGTTCACATTATTTTTTTTTTGTGATAAAATCGTGAGATTTAAAAAATTAAAATGGATAATATTTCACAAGGTGAAAATCATAATAATTAAGTCTGTCTAAATTTTGAATGAGTGTATATCTAAATCTTTGAGTCATGTAAATATAGAGATTGAGTTTTGACTCGTGATATATTAGATGCCAATATTGAAATCGAATGCACTGCTGCAAAGCATGATGAAAGGAAGTTTGTGCTGAAAAAGTTAAGTTGATTGAGGCAGGAAACTGGGCTTTCAGAGTTTAGTCTTGTCCTTTTTGAATTTGGCTGTCAATTCTAATTGCACAAGTGAACTTGATTAAGACTTGAAAAGAGAAATAGATTCCGAACATTTTTTTTAATAAATTTAAATAAATTTATTTTTATGAAATTTAAAAAATTTATGAAAAATTATTTTTTATAATTTTTTAATGGATTCGAATAAACTATAATATTTGATATTATATATATATGTATCTCACTAACTTAAACCTTTAATTTGATATAAAAATTTCAATTTACAAAGAATAACTAGTGAAAGACCTCATTTTTTGGTTATGAGAGACGCCATTGATAATTCAAAATTGATAGCATATTAAAACTATTCAAAGAAAGAAAAAATAAAAAATTTGTTAAATTATTATATTAATCTTTATATGCAATTGAGATTAAATATTTTAAAAGTAAATTTTCCTTTCTAATAAATATATTGTAAATCTTATTATTTAGGTTTCTAAATTTTTTTTGCTAGATGCAAAAAATGATTTTTATTTCAAAGAAAGTTAAAACAATGATTTTGTTTCTATAAAATGCATTTGCCTTATAAAAATAAATAACAAAGCATTTTCTTGAATCATGGATTTTTAATTCAAAGATCAGAGTTTCCAGAAAAGGTGGGGACCAAGGGCCAAGGGCGACAAGACAGGGGAGGGGGCCAGCATCTACAACACTACGTATAGCTTACGGTGACCGCCTTAAACGGGAACATCAAAAAGCTTCAGGCTTTTACCCATAACACCAATCACCAAACCAACAAAAAAAAAAAAAAAAAGAAAGAAAAGTCCTTTCTTTTCTCACCGACTAAGGCTCAAGAAGCAAAACCAAGAAACGGTAAGATTTTCCTTGTTTAAATTTCTCATATTTTTCGTATTTTATTTATATAATTACTATACTTTTTTGTGGGGTCCTTTTTTTTTTATCTTTTAAGCTTCTTCTTTTTAAAGTTATTCTTGGTTCTAATTCTAGATCTGGGGTCATTTCTTTTGGTGTGATAAAATTCTGTTCTTGGGTTTTTTTGAAGTTCTTTTTTGGTTATTTGATTCTTAATTTGGGTCATTTCTATTTTTTGGTAGGTGTTTGCATCTGGGTTGGTTTTAGATTTTGTTGAATTCTTTTTTGTTGAACTGTCAAACTTTTGATTCTTTGTTATGTTTCTGCTGGTTCTTTCTTGCCCCTACAATCTTATCATCTTTTCATCCATCTTTTTTTTTAAAATATATATTGTTATCATAGATTCTGGTTAATTGCTTAAGACAATTTAATGGGATCATGTTAATGTAAACTTGATGAATCTTCTATTCTGTGTTTCATCTGCTCATGTTTGTTCCCCTTTCTAACAATTTTCTTGAATCTAAGGAACCAGTTGCATAGCTATTGCCATTACCTTAGTGTGAGGGCTGTATATTTGTTATATGTATTCATATGAATGATTCAAGTTAATTTTGTGTTTGGGTTTTTCAAGTGTAATATTGGAAAATGGAAGATATTATCGTTAGAAGGGTCATCCCCTCAGACAACAGCTGCCTATTCAACGCCGTTGGGTAAGCTTATAAACAACCAGATGGTTAACTTGCCAATTTAATTTGTTATTAGTTTGCTTGGATTGATTGTTGTTTATTTTAGATTGTTTTTCTATGTTTCCTCATTTTTAGGTATGTTATGGACCATGACAAGAGCAAGGCTCCGGAGTTGAGACAGGTTCTTATCTATATCATCTCAATCATTGTTGTCAACACATTTAGTTTACGTAGTTCTTTAAGTTACTTTATTCTGTTCTTGCATAGTAATTAGAGATCAAAATTTAAACTTCATATGCAGTTTATGTTAACTAGTCTATTCTAGCATTTATATATTGCCATGTAAGAGAATGCGTTAGGATTATGTAAGGAGGATTTATACACATGACAAAATAGGAAGCTTTATATGTAGGTTCGCTAACGAGTTTGGCTGGGGCTGTAATGGAAAATTTTTAAGATGATAGATGGCTTGTATGAAACATGGTGCGAATCATCTCGTATTTGCATTACCATATTTAGCTTATTTTGATCTTTTAGCTATTAATAAGGCTTTTGAGTGATTTCTTTCTATTACAAACCAGGAAGTTCGTGCTTAGCTTTGTTCTGCTAACTGTATTATTACCATAATCTCTGATGCATGTGTGGGAAGTATGATAATCTTAACATATTCAATTGTTATCATTATACGCTACATGCATCTGCATGCCAAAATAGATCGACAGATCAACTTGCGGAAACCTATGTGCATGGATAAATTTTTGATACAGGACCATTCATCCTTACTTTTTTTGAATGCTATTTTATTTTCTTGACCTGGTGTGATTGATGACTGTTCGAAGGTTATAGCTGCAACAGTGGCAAGTGATCCGATAAAATATTCTGAGGCATTTCTTGGAAAGCCAAATGCAGAGTATTGTTCATGGATTCTTGACTCAGAAAAGTGGGGAGGTTTGTTGAATTTTTTAACTCTTCCATGTCGACAAGACCATAATGGGTCACTATAATGGTCATTCTTCTAGTTATTCATTCTATCAGAATCTATTACTAGGACATTCTTCAGGTTAATTAATCAACTGATCCTGCTATATCATGTTATGTTCTGTTATGAAGGTGCCATTGAGCTTTCAATATTAGCAGATTATTATGGACGAGAAATTGCAGCATATGATATTCAGACATCTCGTTGTGATTTGTATGGTCAGGTTCGAGCTGCTGATGTCTTCACTGTGCATTTGTCTGTAGTCATCTTGTCACTATCTATGCTTATTCCCCCCTCGCCGTTTTACAGGAAAGGAACTATTTTGAAAGAGTCATGCTGATCTATGATGGTCTCCACTATGATGCTTTGGCGGTATGTTGCTTTGTGACCAATTTGTTGCTGTTGAGAAACTAGATGAATGATACTAAGAAGGCATTAGCAACTGTATTTTAGGAGTTTCGAAAAAATATATTTGTTACTTCTTGCATTTTTTCCTCTACAATCAAGGATAATTGAAATATACATGATTATATCCATGCGATTTTGCATTTTTGTGAACATACACTGATAGTAAATTGTTAAAAAGGCAACTTTGAGTGAATCTGTATGAAATTATAACTATTAACTAGACATTGCAGAAGCTGCTCGTGTTTTCTTCCTTCCCTAATGTTTTCATTCTTATTAATTCTTGCTGCCATTCCCCCTCCCCTTATGCTAATGGTTTTCTGGTTTTTGGGTGTTGTATCAACAGATGTCTCCGTTTGAGGGTGCTCCTGAGGAGTTTGATCAGACTATATTTTCTGTACGGATGGATAGAACAATTGGGCGAGTTGAAGGCCTTGCACTGAATCTCGTTAGAGATCAACAAAGGTAGCATTTTTAGTTTTTATATCATATCTGTTTATAGGGACAGTATTCAAATAATTAGAGGTTTGATATCGAAGCCTATACGAAACAGAGCTAACAAATAAATCTGTAGCTTAGTTCCCCTTTTGTCTTTTGACCTTTTTAATTGATATCTACTAAGGATGTAAACTTCGCTCAGATGATCGCCTCTTTGGTTTTGTTCTTTATTTCTTTGCTAGTTTGCTTGGGCATCTCTTGACTGGGCAATGAGCTTTTGACCTCAACCGATTTCGTATAATTTCATCTGCTTATTTTTTAGGAAGAGGAGATACACTGACACTGCCAACTTCACTTTGCGATGTGCCGTGTGCCAAATTGGGTTGGTCGGCCAGAAGGTCATTTTGCATTTCCATAATTCATGCTAGCTTCAAAATTTCTCTATGTTTTCATCTAGCTTTACTTGATTTATTAAATACCATGCTTCTCACATAAGTTACCTCAATGATTCTTTAGGAGGCTGTGGAGCATGCTCAAGCAACAGGCCATGTGAACTTTCAAGAATATAGATGATAGAAAAAGGTGTGGGCAGAAAAATTGGAGATGCATTTTATTTTAGTAAGCTCTTTCATAAGTAGTTCATAAAACTTGTTTCATTTGGTTAATAAGTCATCTCATACATTCTTGAAAAACAAATCAGGTTGTCCTTTTTAGCTTGGAAACTGTTGTTGTAGAATTGATGTTGTGCCAAATGACAGTACTCACTGTTTTCTTGTGGAATTGGCATACCAATGAAAAGCATCCACTTAGATTCATGGAATAATGAAAGGAAAATATCATTTAGGACTAAGCTTCAAGAATTTAGCAATGAAAAGTCATAGGTTTGGGGTTAAATATCAGCCACTCTCTCCCTCCTAAACCTGATATTCGTATATTTATCATATAAATATATAAATCATATATGATCTATACAAATTTAACGAAATACATTCATAATTCGTATTATAAATAAAAAAAAAAAAAGTATATTTTTTTTTATTTAGAAGCATTTCATATATAGATACTTGGACATTTAACGGAATTTTAAACATCGATAGCATATTTTTGTGTCATTATGTTTATAATAAATATGTATTTAAAATGTCATTGTCTTATTCACGTATCGTTCATGAATGTTATTATATTTAAATTGTAGGTCTATTCCCTCTTGACATTGTTTTCTTTTGGAAATGGGACGATTTGCTTAGTAAACGGATTAAACATGAATGTAGAAGTTATATTTCCAGACATTACCAACCAATCATTCTTTGAATAGCAAATATCGCAGCTCGATAAAGATGGAGGTAAGTTTATTAGAAAACTTGTCACCATGTCCTGGAGGAGCAAACGCCATCTTTCTCGAAGAAAATAAGCCAAGGGGATAGTGAAGGGATTGTCTTCTTCCAATCATCAGGAAGGGTGTCTTACATAAGACATAACGATTTTAGAACTATGCCATCAGGTTTTAGCATATAAATCACCATTGCTGGCAATGGTACGAAGTGGGTTATATCTCAACACGATCATCATGACATAAGTTATTCAATGGCGGTAACCTTAAAAGAAAGACACCAACCATCATGACATGAAGGCCAAAACTTTTTACGATTCTACTGTGGGATTCTGACCATGAGGTGAGTCTCGTTGGGGTTTGTTAGTTTTTTTTTTTTTTTTTGTAGATCTTATAATTTAAAATGACACGAGACATGATACGAATAAAAAATTAAGGAATAATATGATTTAAAATTTTATAAAAATTATAAATATGATTAATAAAATTAAAAAAATTATATTTTATGTTTTCGTGTTTATATAAATTATGATGTGATTTTTGTATAAAATATAATATAAATATAATATTTTATACGATATGATAATACGAATTATTAGATATAATTTTTTATTATATGATTGAATAAGTCAAAGATAAAGATAAGGTGATCATAAAATTTAAATCATATATTTGAAGAATATGTAAATTTTAAATCATATATTTGAGATAATTTTAACAAAAAAATCACTGATTAAACTTGCACTCAATAACCATTTGCTATTCGAATCTAGAAAAACGATCCTTCTAGATGGTAAATTGGACTAATTTCAACTTACTATGGATGTCCCTCTTTGAAAGCTATAGGAGCCCTTTCCAACATAAGCTACCCTAGAACTTGTAATTTAGAACCCTATCAAAAGTACAAGGTAAAGGCTAAAAAATTTTCAAATTCAAACAAATGTCCAAAAATAAGAAGTCCTGATTGGTGTTTTTTTCACATGGAATTCATCAAAATGAAGTATTGATTGGTCCATTTCCAAGGAAAAAAATTCAAAAAATAGCCAATGAAGTACGGACCAGCTGTGAAAACGAACAAATCCACTCTTTGTCATTTTCATGTCCCAACTCTCAGTTCCCCATGCAATAAAAACGTGGCAAAATGGTAATCATGTGGTCAATGATTCCATCGTTTCCCATTTCCCATGAAAAACCAAAGTAGATAGATCTATGTACATAGCATCCAAGACAAAAGAATCTATGTTCTGTCTTGACAGCCATAGCTTTTTCACTTCTAGGAAAACAAACTTTCAAAAACTAAAAGAATCTAGACTACTCCAAAATGGCAAGAGCTACCCTGTCTGTAACCTCCAATCCACCATCACCACTACCAAAAATCACCCCTCTCCACCACCAACGTCCGTGTCAGAGCAGCCACCGTGACAACCACCGCAATGCCAGACCACCACCCTTCACTTGAAATTACTGGTGGAGCTGTTGATAGTTTTCTCCCTGCTTTCAAAAGCCTTCACCTTCCTTACAAGCCTTTTCCTATCATTGGTTGGAATCGCCATGTTGAGACCGTATTCGCCGCCTTTTTCTGTAAATTCCTCGTGGTATCGCCGTCAGTGCCTCCGGACCTAAGACGACGGCATCATAGCCTTGGACTGGGTCAGTGACGACCACCGCAGCTTGCCTGCTGACTTTCCCATCCTCATTTTGCTGGTTTGTTGATATATATCTCTTCTCTCCAATGTAGCATCTAACTGCATGCGTTACTTTTTTTAGATACCCTTTTGCTTAATTAATGAAAGGAGTAAAATTTACAGGTTTCATTAGATTGTTTGTTTGGTGGAAAAATTTGAATGATTGTGAATTTGTGATGGATTGTTGAAATTGAATATGCAGCCAGGACTAACAGGAGGGAGTCAGGATTCAAATGTAGAGCATATGTTGGAGAAAGCTAGGCGTAGAGGTTGGAGGGTTGTGGTGTTCAATAGCTGGGGCTGTCGAGATAGCCCTGTTGCCACTCCTTAGGTATTATACTACTGTTAGTACAAATTTCTAATTTCAAGCAATTTTTTTGGACTTTGGAGTCGATTTTAATTCAAGATCATGTATGGTTTGCAGTGATCTGCATTGCACAGCTAGGAAAGTTATTAAATTTATGTTAGCATTTGCCTCGGTGATTGATGAACAATTCTTTGTTTAAATAGCAAGGTTCCAATCTCCATTCCCTCAAATCGAAAGAAAAAAGAAAAAGGAAAAAAAAGATATCAGCAATAGGATTATGTTCTGGTAGGCTTGGCTGCAAGAATTCCAATGTGGAATTGATAGACATTTATGAAATCAGAGAACTACGGCTGTCAAAGACATGTTGTTGACATTTGTATTTTGTCCTGTGTTTTTTACCTGTGACTTTGATACAATCATTGAGCTAATAAATTGAGATGCCAATTCAAGTACTCTTGACATTTTTTTCATGACTCTGATTTGCAGCTTCATTCAGCTTCATTTACAAGCGATACATGTCATGTAGTAGCTCATGTTGGTTGGTGACTAGGTGGGAATATCCTTGCTAAATACTTGGGAAAGGTAACATAACTAACATTCTGCTTTCTTTCATGTCACCAATATATCTTGTTAATTCTTGTTTGTTAATCATATGCTACAGTAGTTAATCAAACAGAAGAGGATTTTTATCCGGGCTTCGCCATTTTTATCCCTTTTTTCTCTTTAAATCATACAATGCCTTCTGCCTCATGTATGAGTTTGTCATTTTCTTGCCCGTAGGAGTTCAAAAGCTGCCCTCTCTGTGGTGCTGCATCACTGTGCATTCCTTTCAATTTAGTCATTGCAGATGAAAACCTCCGCTTCAACAATATTTATGACAGAGCACTTAGGGGAGGTCTTGTAAAATTTTCTCGAAGTAATTATTCCTGAGATTCCTTTTATTTTTACTGTGAATGGCATTAAAATTTGAAGTTATCCTGTTGAGGACTGTATAACCAGAATTATTCTATAATTGCAGATATGCTTCCCTCTTTGAAGATATAGAAGATGAATATAATGTCCAAGTAGGCTTGAATCCTAAAACTGTCCGGGAATATGATGAAGCAATAATTCGCAGTATGTTATTCATATATCAAAAAAGTTTTGCTCTCCTTTTTCCTTACTGTGCATACAATTTGTTTTTCGATGGCACACTCATCAACTAAACTGGACTACTTCCTTTAACACCTTGCAGTGTCATTGGGATTCAAGTCAGTGGATGACTATTACTCAAATTCATGTACTTGTCATATCACACAACATGTTTGGATTCCTTTGCTTTGCATTCAGGTAACCATTTGTGCACTTGTTAATGATTGTATTTGGTTGTAAAAGTTTTAGAATTATGTTAAAGAGAGATTGCAGCATCTGTAATTCTTTACGAACTTGATTAATTTCTGGTGGTTGTCAGGCTGCAAATGATCCGATTGCTCCTATTGAGGAACTCCTCAGTAAGATATCAAGTTAATTTAGTGGGTGATCTTGTGTCATTGAGCCATATTCTACTCTTTACTGAATGTTTAAGTTAATCAGCAAAGATGATAAGCTTCTCCATCCATGCAGCATCCAAAATGAGGCCAATTCCAGTTCCAAACTGCTTGTGCCCCTTTACATGATACTGAAACCATCGGCCTGAACCTTCAATCCAACTCTAACCCAAATACCTCAAAGCCTGATTGATTTGGAAATGGAAAATACATCAAATATTTCTGATCAGAAAGTCCTGATAGGTTTTGTTGCCAACTTGCTTCAGTATATATCTCAATCACAGTGTCATAGGACCATATTTTGGCCTTTTTTTCTCTTCGTCTATCCATTAACTTCATAAATAACGAAGTGTATTTTCTGATGTTTAAGGGGAATCCAAACTGCATGTTGATAGTAACGCCCCAAGGCGGTCATTTGGGTTAGGTTGCAGGCGATGAGGTTCCCTTTGGAGCTCTTTAGACTGATAACATGGTGATGGATTTCCTTGAGCACCTGCAAGAAGATGCATGGAAACCCCAAGCATCATCTATCAGTGCAGAAGATGTGCAACAGGGATCAGAGGGCTTGTATTAAGCAAAAGTGTAGTTTGCAAAGAGCTAGCATGTTTATCCATTATCGTTTGACATCCAATCTTGGATGTACAATCATACCGTGAGTTACATTAGAAGAAGCTAGAACTATCTGATTCTTTATATACTTTCACGTTGTACTTGGAGCTTAGTAAAGAAGAGTTGATGATTCGATTTGTCATGCAGGCAAGTGAACTGTGAATCATGCAAGAAGAAATAGTTTATGTCAACAAAACAATTATTGGCAATAGAAAAGGAAGATCATATGAACTTTGACTGATCATTTTTCAATCATTTTTCCATAATTGATGAACACAAGGGTCTTGGATACATAAATATTCTATTTTGTGGTCCTCTATTTTATGATTTATCCATGAGAAATTCGAAGGAAAATGTTATCATTTCAGTCTACCGTGAATTTGTTATCCTTGATACCCTCGGATCCTATAGGGATACAGTACAAATATGGCATACATTGCTTTCTCGATTAAAAGCGAATGACAACTACAGATCAAAGGAGATGATGGTCCAGCTGTTTCATCAGGAGCATTGCCTACAGACACCAGCAGAAGGGGTGAAAAAGAGTTCTCAGCATAGCATGGGCTAAGGACCAGAGAATCAATAACTCCACGAGACCAATCAGGTGTCTGCATTCACATGCTCTTTCAACTTTTAACCAATTTTGAACTGGCAGCAGAAGTTGCCCAATGTCTGAGGAATATATTACTACTTATTTCGGTTGGGCACATCCAGCTACCGTGATGAATAGGTTTGGCCATTGAAATCACCATCTACTTCTAAATCTTCTGTTTAAGGACATGCCGCAATTGAACCTTCTGACTTTCCATTCTTGTCTTTTGTGCACCACGACACCATTCAATGCACCCTTTCATTCCTCTCGTTATGTGCAGATGACTAGAGTCAGATGGACTCCACTGTTCCACCAAGTCCTGGGGACTGATCCCACCTTTACCTGACCCTTGATCAGGGGATATGATACTCCCATTAGACTTCCTTCCATTTGAAAGCCTGCCATTTGTTCCTTCTACTGACATTATCTTGTAATTTTCTCCATTATTTGGGCATGATCTCCAAAGCCTTGCTATGGATGACACCTTCTTTGACTGTCTAGCAGGCAACGAACAAACTTTACTAAGTTCTGTGATTGGGGTATCTTCACATGCATTTTCCTCCCATTTGGTTCCACTTCCCGATAAACTGCTGTTCCGACAATTGTTGTTCACAGATGCAGTGCTCCCTTCCGTCAAATAACTTGAGCCCTGATCCTCAAGATCGCTGACAGATTCCCACCCGCTCTCATCTTCTTCTATCTCATCATTCTGATCAACATACACATATGAATGTCTTAGAATGCTGTCTTTTTTTATTATTTTCATTTCAGGACTCACCGTATGAACTTTTGAGGCATGGCTGGCAGGACTATATGCAATACATGGTTCGATTTCCCTTTCATTGGCTTCAGCTAAAACTACTTCTTCAAAAACAGCAAAAATGTCATCTGGATGTGGGGCCTCATACGTAAATTCCTTGATTTCTTGGACATTAACTGACATTGCAGCCTGTCTAAGTGATTCTGCTTCTCTCATGTCTTTCACATCCAGAGTTCCAGTTCTTGACCTTAAAAAAGTCTCCAAATCTGCTACAAGCTTGTTCATCTGCGAATACCTCTCTTCAAGTGCTACCTTAGCATCAATGAGCTTCATCTGAACACGTTCTTCACGCCCGACCTCAGCCATCTGCAACATCTTTCTTTCCTTGTCAACTTCCTCTCGAAGCTTCATGGAATCTCTCTTTACTGCTTCCACTTCAGCTTTGTCTTCTCCAATTTCCTTAGCAAGCTCATTGCATACTTCTTCAATTAGTTCTCTGGCCTTTCTTTCCTTTTCATAGCCCTGCATATATTGCTTTGCTGATAACTTGGCAGAAGCCAGCTCATTCACCAATTTGGAATTGACAATTTCAAGCCTCTGGCGATTTTTCTTTTCTTGATTCAAGTCAGCTTTAACATCATCAACAAACGCACTTATTTTCTCATGTTCTCTACTCCACCATGCAGCTCTTTCCTCACTAACTTTCCTCAAGAAGTGCTCAAGTTTCTTCTTTGAGGACTGGCGCTCAGTCTCAAGCTCCTCAATGCAAACTCGAGCCTGCTCTAGCTCAGCTTCAAGGGCAGAAACAATTGATACTGCACTTACTTGTTGGTCAATATGCTTCATGTGGCTGTAAATTTGCCATACCTCATCTGTTGTTTTTAAGCAGACAGGATCCCACTTTGTTGCTTCCTCCATTCCAGAGTTTGAAAGTTGAATTGAAGACTCAATCTTGAAAATAAGAAAAACAGCTTAAGATTAAATGAGTAAAGAAATAATTAAAAGTTACGGAAATAAAGAAATCTATACACAGAGTGCGCACCCTTCCCTTGTTTTTTCATGTATTATAGCAAGCTACAAGCATGTTTGAGAATAAATTTAAGAATCTAAGCAAACAAACAGCAACACAGCCCTCATTTTGCATAATTTAAGTTTTTCTCACAAACAGCTTTTTTTTTTCATTCTTGAATTGTTCATTAAATTGATAGAACGAAAACCACATTGACTCAAGTACTAATAAATGCAAGTAATCCATATTTCTATTCTTTCCCGTCTAAGTTGCCCAGATTTGTCAAGAATCTCTGATAGACAATGATAGCGTTAAGGTTTTAATAGACTAATAATATATCTGTCCAGCAGGCAATTAAATTTTCATACCAATAAATACTAAATTAAATACTGCATTTATTTGGGACCAAGCCTTCAGCTTTGGTAAAAATCAAATGCCAAAAAGAGCAAAAAACGGTTTTTTTTTTCTTTTACAAAATCACCAAAATGGAACATAACTAATCACACTTAAAGAAACCACCAAAGGTGGATCTCACATGCAGCATAGCACATGTGCCACATGAGTGAGATGACAAAGGTTTGGTTTCCTATGCGATTTCCATTCAACTTTTCCATATCGATCAGGTCACAAAAAGTTGAAGGTTCAGTTAAGGAGCTCATTGAAGCAAGCATACCTTATGCAAGAGGCCATTCTTTGTGCCAGAGACAGAACCAGGATTCCGTGACGGATCCTTTGTATCTGAACAATAAATTTTGTCCTCGTGATGATAAGGAAATAGGACACCCATAAAATCATTACCAGGCTGCAGGAAATTACAATGTAATGAACTCAAAATGTCCAAAATCACGACTCAAACTAGTAATGCTTAAATACAACTGATCAATCAAGAAAAAAAGAGCAAAACTATCAATAAAGACAGAGTAGACAGCACAACTTTCAGATGTAATTTAAACAAATTGTCAAATGTATTCATTGAGAATCAAGCAAATCGTAAATACCGACGAATAGTATAACCTTTTACCGAGAAAATATCCATACAAATCCTGTAAAACCATGCTCACAAAAGCCTCTAATAATTAGAAAAATAAAACCATACCATAGCATTCAATGATGACAAAGTTAGAACATGATAAATGCATCAAAAAAGAAACTTTCTGGTACCAAATCGTATGAATCAATTACATTTAGCAAGTGTTGAAAGATACATTTCTTTGACATGCAGACAAAATCTAAGGCATTATAAACATCAAAATATAAGACAATCAACAATGGTGGCATTCTAAAGATCATCATTAGTGTCATTATCAACGCTTAAAACTTCATTTTTAAGCAATAAAGTAACAATTTTGATAAAGAAAAAATCCAAAATAATCCCTTCAAAATCACACTTTTGATCACATCATTCTCATTAATAAAAAGGGGATAAACAAAAGAAAGAAGCAGAAAAGCACTGATCTTTGAGCCACAATAACGTTAAAAATCTCACCTTAAACCCAAACGGATCCCTCCTCCTCTCTCCGCAACGAGGCGTCACCGTCTCCGGCAACTGCAACCGCCACAATCCAGCTGCAAGCTTCCTCGAGGACACCGTCGAAGCTCCTTTCTTCCGTCGTCCACGACCAACATCTCTCCGGCCACTATCCTCCTCCTCGAGCTCCTCCTCAACTCCACACGCTTTCTCTCTCCCTCTCCTTCATCTTCCATTTCAATAACGGCGTCTCCGGCCTGCTCCTTCTCCCCACCACCAGTGCACCAACCCGCCTCCACCTCGTGTTCCACGTTCTCCTCTTCGTCGTCGGCTTGAGATCCACTTCCGTCTGATTCCTCCCCGAAAAAGTCGCCGGTAAACTCGCTTTTCCCGTCACCTTCATCCCTCTCAAACCCAAACCTCTTCCATCAACATTCCAAACCAAAAACCCAAAGCTCCAACTTTGTAAAGAAAAAGAAAACAATCCAAAGCAAAAAAATATATATATAATAATAATAATAATAATAAGAAAACAGAGAGAAAAACTGAGCTGAGAGAGAATTGAGAGAGTGTTTTTATGGTTTTTTCTTTGCTCGTATCTGAAACGGAGAAAAGGACAAATCCCAGATGTGTATATAAATACAGTAATACATTTACCGTATTTTTACACAGTCAACGTATACTGGGAATTTGATATAAGATACGGTGCCGTTTTAGAGCGACAATGACACGGCTTTGCAGGAGCGGGATCATTAGTGAGTCATGATTAAGTTGCAGAGACACGTTTTAAATTTTTAATTTTTAATTGGGGGAATTGAACGACCTCGTTTCAGAGGGGTTTTGGTAAAAGATTTTATAATTATGGTGATTTGTGATAATAAAGAATAGATATATGAGTTTAGTTTAAAGTAACAGAAAAATCATCGAATTTTATTATTTTATTTAAATAAATTTTTATATTTTTATTATATCTAAATAAATTTTTAATTTTTGAATTTTAATTTTAATTTAAATAAATTTTTAATTTTTAATTTATATATAAATAAATAATTAACCTTTAATTTATATATAAATAAACTATTAGTATAAATCAATATTTTTGAAATAAAAATTTATTTGAATTCAAATTAAAGAGTAATAATTTATTTGAATATAATAAAAATATAAAAAATTATTTAAAAATAAATAAAATAATTTAGTGACTTTCGTAATATTTTAGCCATGAGTTTATTGTCAAAGATCTATTAGTTTTGCTAACGACTAAATATGATAATTCATATATTCATATTATATTTATTTTATATTAAATATGTATAAAATTTAAAAATTATAATATTATAATATGTAGTTTAAATTCAAAGCATAAATGTAAATTTTAAAAATATTCTTTTATTAAAAAATATAATAAATACAGTCAAAATATTTAATTTAATAATGTATGCATGATTTATACTCTAATGATTTAATCTTAAAAAGTGTGTGTATATATATATATATATATAATTATCAAATACACTTATTATAGCTTTTTTTAATTTTATAAACGAGATTAAAATGATGATATATATTTTTATATATTTAACAAATTAATTTTAAAAAATAAATATTTGTTATTAACTTAATTTTATTTATAAAATTAAAAAATTTCACTCTCAATATATTAAATAATTTATATATATATATGTGATAATTAGATAATTTTTAAAATTTTTTTAAGTTCCTAATCTACCATTAGATCTCCTATCTAATTTATATATCTAATTAAAAAAAAACATCATGCTTTATTAAACTATTAATTTCGAAATGTCAACTTCATTGATTTTTTTTTTTTGTTCTTTTGGACACAGATTGATGTACCAACTTCCATGTTCTTTAACAGTGAGAGGACACTTCCTTAAAGACATGTGACTCATTTACAAAGTACAATGAAAAATGGCAATTTGGAAACCCATGTCCACCAGCTTTCAACAGTTTCTTTCAGAAATCTCCTTGTTGTAGGATTTGGCTTCCGCAGATCTACTATTTGCATTATTTAGTCCTGTTTCGGAAAGGCATCCGAGGGAAATCGACGTGGCTTTATGTGTAAGTTACACGTGGAAGTCGACCCTGATCATAATATCCATCAACCTTCGTTTTTGTAATTTTGTGTTCTTTGCATCTTTATAAGCGACAAATTGCACGCAGATGGGCTGGCTTGATGTTCGAGCCAAAATAAATACTATTGAATAATATTATGGCCATTTCTCTTAGATATAGATCTAATATTAATTAATTAACCCTTCAAATAAATTAATACTTTGTATTTGATTTTTTTTAGTAAGTAAAATTAAGATAAATAAATTGTTTTTAAATGTGATAATAGTTTAGATCAATTCAAATTTGATTTGATTTTTTTTAGATAATACATAATATTATAAATTTTTAAAATTTAATTTAAATTCAAATTAATTTTTATTTAAAATTAATTTTATTCTATTTTAATTTTATCGATTTTATTCGATTCAATTTATAGGTTTAAAAATTTTATTATTTTTTATTTTTTATGTATTGTTTTAATAGGATTTTAATAGATCTAAATAGATTTATTATAAAATAATTATTTTATTTTATAAAATTTTAAAATATAAATAAAAAATAATAAAAATATATAATTTAGTTCAATCTAATTTATTTTTTAATTTTTTATATTTCAATTCAAAATTTAATCTTAACTTAATATATACATTTAATATTCAAATCGAATAAAAAATTTGATTCAAATTAATTGAATACTACAATTTTAAATTATTTTTTAATTTTTTTTTTCTTACCTCTAATTGCTCCAGCCTCCAAATTAGGATATAGATAAAACTTTAATAAAAATTATATAAATTTAATAAAAATAAAAAATATATTTTATATTTAATGTGTGATTATGAATTATAATATTATAATATTTATTTTTATATATTTAATATAAAATAAATACAATATAACTATATAAATTATTAAATGTAAATAAAAATTTTGCTCCGATCCCTAAGTTATGACACAAATATGCAATTTGCTTCTCGAAGTTTATATTTTAAATAGCATCAAGGGCTTAATCGAATCTAATCAATTAAATTATTCTTTGCATCCTATTTCTATGTATGTTTTAACTTTTTAAATGTAAATATCATACTATCAGTCATTGTCTGAATAAGCAGGTGAGATCCAAATGTAAGTAATCCAAAGCAAATTAACCCTTAAACTAATCAAATTTGTACCGTAGTTTTTGCGGGTAACACTCTAATTTAAGGGGTTCTTGTCTTACATTTTGGTTTGGTACAATCAAGATTCTGATCAGACATGAAAATATGCGTATCGAGTGGGTTTCCATGGGATTTTGTGGACATTCTGTTGTTAAATCCACGTGGATTCTAAAGGATTGATAATGATTCAAATTGGATTGGATTATATTTGATTTAAATTTTTTGAGTAATGTATAATATTATTTATTTTTAAAATTTAATGTAAATTTGAATAAATTTTTTTATATCGATCATATCCGATTCAAATCAAATTTTATCGATTTGATTCAATTCGATTTATCAATTTTTAAATTTTATATTATTTTAATAAATTTTTTAAATATATTTAATAGATTTATATATAAAATAATTATTTTTATTTTATAAAAATTTAAAAAATATAAAAATTAATAAAAATATATAATTTGGTTTAGTTCAATTTTTTATTTTACATCTTAATACGAAATTTAATCTGAACTTAATATATACATTTAATATTTGAAATTGATCCAAATCAAAATAAAAAAAAATCTGAATTGAATCGAACATTATAATTTTAAACCAATTTTTAATTTTTACAAATTTTTTTCACTCATAAATGTTATCAGGTCTATTAATTTTTTTTCATATAAAAAAGATCATAATTTAAAAATAAAAAACTATAGATATTAAAATTTAATTAATTAATGAAGTTAACCTTCAAATTAAAATCTTTTTCTTTTTGTTTTGTGGGTCCATTGATTTTGATATTAAAAGTCTAAAAGTCTAAACTCTAACTTTAATCCCATTTTTTTGAACTACCAAGTTTCATGTGATGTTGAGGGTTGAGTCATTAATGCCAAGAGTTTCACAAGTTTGATTTGACAATGGTGTCAATTTTTAATTTCTACCCCTATAGTATCACTTTGATTAGAATCATCAATGGACATTCGATCATAAGCTTTTTGTCGTCAATGAATAGTTGCCCTTTGATATGTGTGGCTTACATGATTGCAATTCACTATTCCCATGAATATTACCACGTGGGGACTGCTCACCATGACCAATACAAAGAAAAATTACAAGCTTCCAAATCATCAACAATTTGACCATATGAACTTTGTTTTTTTTTTTTTAATTCGAAAAAAGAGTATTTGAATTTTGATTTCTAAAATCATTGATTATACATAAATTTAATGATTTGTATATTTATATCTTATAAAATATTAAAATTTATATATTTACATCGTATTTTATATAAAAATTATATATTACAATTCATATCAACACAAAAATATAAAATATTTTTTTATTTTTTTTAAATTTATATTTAATTATTATTAAAATTTAAATCATATCACTTTCGTATCTTATTTTTATATCATATTTATATCACGTTATCATATTATATTTTAAATTATTAGATCTAATCATATATTAAGTAGTGCATTAAATCATAGGGTACTTGATTATAATTTATTAATCCCTAATAACAATAGTTCCATCCTAAGCTCCCAATTACACATTGAGGAGATCACAAAGAATTCTCAGAAAAGTTCCAAAACACCCATAATTCTTCTTTTGGTGCCCTTTTAGTGGAAAGCAATAAATAAGAAAGTGTAGATTGTAGACCTTACTTTTTGGATAGTTTTTGAATAAGATGAAAGATACATTGGTGCCCATTACCCATTATTTAGAGCCTGTCCAAGGTTCCTTTTAGGTTGATTTTATAGAAAATTTTGTGCATGAGCTTTGATTTTAGGCTTACATGGTTTTGATCTCTTATAAATATTGTACTTTTGCATTCAAAGTTTTACCACCCCAAACATTTGACCTTCATTGTAAGATAGTTTTATTAAGCTTTTGATATTTGTTAAAAATTGCTCTTTTAAGTGTTATAGATATTTTGTTTGTTCAAAGGGCAAATGATCTTTTTTTACATTGAAGATTATCAACTAATCAATAATATTTATTGTTTTAAGTTGATTTGACATATCAATTGACTTGATGTGTATAATATCACATCAGTTCGGTCATTTCATCAAACTACTTAAAAGATCTCTCTTTATATTGATTTATCACTTTTTGAATGGATGATTAACGTTCGCGTAAACTCAACTTATCAAGTCATCCTGATCACAAGATTGATCGTGGGCAATTCCCACATCTTTAATTATAAATAAATATAAATAAGGCTATGTAAATATTATTTAGATATTTCATATTCTTTTACTTTTTTAACATTTCCTCCTTCCTATCCCATCTCGTTGCGATTTCTAATTTGAACATCAAAACTTAAATATTAAGAAAATTTTCAGCATTTATCTTTAACTGCTTTCTTTCATCTTTCTATGATTTCAAGTAACTTAAATTTACATCATTTAATGTACTTGGTGAAAAACAAAAGGAAAGAACTTTCCATGTATTAAAGGGATTGCCTATATTGAAGAGTTCAATTAATTTTAATAACTTTTAATGATATAACTTTTATACCCATTATTTGTCAAAATGTTAAATTAATTGGTTCATATAACATTTTAAAAAATGATATTTAATATATATAAAATTTAAATTCTAACATTTATAATTTTTTTTTGTATTCTCATGAAAAATAATTTATTAAAGTCATAAAAAATACCTAATCACCTACCCTACCTTTAAGCAATAGCTAATGATTTAAATTATGTAAGATATGGGCCTTTAGGAAGGCAAAGACAGAAACAAAAGCTCCTTTTTATAAGATAAAAACTATAACATCAAAATCAGTGAAATACATGAAACGAAAAATGCATGCATGCAACATGTTCAACTTACCAGTCTACCGATATTTATTTTCGTTATGATAATGATAGTATAAAAAATTTGCATGCATGAGTTGTAATTAGATCTGATAATTTAAAATATGATAAAGTGATACGACATAAATATAATACAAACATAAAATATAAATTTAATATGATTTAAAATTTTAATAATAATTATATTTAAATTTAATAAAATAAAAAATATATTTTATATTTTCATATCGATATAAATTATGATACATAATTTTTATATAAAATATGATATAAATATATAAATTTTAATATTTTATATTATACGAATATACAAATACTCATATTTAATTGTAGTCTAAGCTATGGTGGTGGCAGAAGACTCTAGTCCAGGCCGATGATCAACCCATGGTTGGGCCATGGCTAAAGCTTGCTTCAAGATGGGCTAGCTTGCAATAGGCCAGTGGGGAAGTTTTCTTTTAGATAGCTGCTAGCTCTCCCGTTAGGAGATTCGCAAAGTCCAAAGAAATCATGTTTCACCTTTTTTTTTTTTCCCCCTTTATACTGATTATTTTATTTTAAGATATATTTTGATATTTTAATAATTAAGATTAAGAATTTAATATTCTACTAAAAAATTACATGATTCAGGTTAAAAAAAAAAAACAAAAAGTAATGCAAAGAAAGGTATTAACTTCAGTCTTTGTAAAGAATGAGAAAGATTAAATAGAAAAATATTATTCTAACATTTTTATTAAAAATATTAATAAAATAAATAATATAAAATATTTTAATAATAAATAAAAATGAAATAAGTGAATTGACTTGAAATTGGGATTAAGATTTAAAAATATTATTGAGTCTGATCTTATCCAGTTCATGGGATTAAGATTTAAAAGTATTATTGAGTTTGATCTTATCCATTTCATATACACTTTGATGATATGTTATTAATTTTACTATTTTGTTGTATTAGTAGTTGAAATTATTGTAATTATGAACCCATATATTATTTTTTAAGTCCTAACTTTATGTTTTTTATTAAAAATAAAGAAAAAGCTAAATAATTTAATTCACAAATCATTTGGATAAGGATAGCCATAAAAACAAATTAAAAATGGGTACCATTAGTTATTAGCTTTGTGGAAATACTTAAAAAGAAGTTTTTTAGATGAAATTCCTAAAATTTGTTACTAGAAATGATTAAATAAAAATAAAAAAAAATCAAAATTCATAGATTAAAGATCTTATTATATAAATTATGTAAAATTTTAAAAAATTGATATATATATATATTTTTAGTAAAAATATTGATAAAATTTTTACCGTTAAATAAATATCAAGTAAATTTGAATTATAAATAATATTTTTAATAATTATTCTATATATTATTAATTTTCATATTGAATTCTATTAATTTATTGATTTGAATTTTTTATTAAAATTTTTATTAGATCATTTTTTAAAAAAATTTCATAATCGTCTCTTAAAAAATTTTATATAAGTTTTGTCCTTAATTCTGTTAACCCTAGAGCTAAGTTACGATAGTGGTTCGAACTTGTAACCATCAATATCACTAAACTAACAACTCATTAATTAACTGTTTGATACTTTATTAACATTGAAATTGATTCTTAATCTTCTTTGGCTTGATCTGTAAAAATGTTTCTAATCCCTTGGCTTTGACCTTGATTATGATGATTAATTTAAATAATCAATATGTATGAATCACAGCTTAAAAACAAATGGGAAGAAACAAATCTGGAGTCAGCAAAATTCAAAATACCTTTGTCTTGAAGCCTTCTTTTATTAAAACAAAATCATTTTCTATATCAACCCAAGCTTCTACAGAGTATTTTATCCGTTACATGAATAATATATTCTCTGGGGCATGTCAAGAAGGTATATTTCATGACAATGGTGAATGATTTTCAAACAGATAATAAGGGCCAGCAGATAATAATAATAATATAAACACCGTCGACTTACAGATAAAGTAACATCTTACATATACGAATTTTGCTAGAATTTTAAATTGTATTATGTATTTTTTTATATTATTTTTGTATTGTTTTATCATGTCGTATTTAAAATTAGTAGATGATCTGCATTATCAGAAGTTCAAAGAAGTGAGGGTTAAGAAAATTGGGCTTATACTCTACTTTCATGCATATATTTTTTAGTTGCTTCCACTGAAAACCTGCCCTAAACCACTCCCATGTCCATATCTGAAAGCTCCAAATCCTACCTTAAAAAAAACCTCAAACCCAAGTGGAAAATAACTCTCAATCTAAGTTAATGATGCAATAAACAATTCATACACCAAAAACAAAATGCTACACTGGGTGAATAAGAAATTATAATGTCAATCATGTAAGACCATTGGCAATGAAGCCTATTGCACATTGAACTCGATCAAGCAATTGCTAGAGAGAATTAGCAAAGTTACACATGATTATTATGAATATATATATATATATATATATGCATGTATATATGTATTTTTTTTGAAACAGGCATCATAAATTATGATGAGGAACTGTTCTTTGTGTCTTCGGATGCAATAGGCTTTTGAGGCTCAGGGAGGTTTTCAACATATATGTCATGTACCAGTTTTACGTAGTCATCAATCTTGTCATCCGTCCAACTATCAGTTTTTATCGGAGGGAGATATGTTACAGAAATAGGAGCTGGTCGAACATGTAAGCTACCTTTCCTCCATGCTAGATGAGTACCTGTCAAGACCATTGGAACTATTGGAAGGCGAGACTGCAAGGCTAGATGAACAAAACCCTGCAATGTAGACCAGGAAAGGAAGTAATGGAGATTGCTTTGGTAAGACATAGAGTGAATAAGCAATGTGAAACAACGATGGAGAAAATGATCTCATAGCAATCATATAGAAGTCATGCTCTGCCTCCAACTGCCATGCCAAGCTTGCCCAGATACCTCAAAATTAAGGCAACTGTCATTTTTGTTTAATGCTTCTTCATCTTAGACTTGAGGAAGATTATAAGCAAATATGGTTTGAATATTACCTTTTTAAAGGGGAGAAGTCGTCCATTTTTGGACCTTGTGCCCTCAGGAAAAACAATCAAAGATAGGTTGTGGTTTATAACAGCCTGAACTGCCTGAGGACGAGAAGAACATAACTTAGTAACATCAACAAAATGCATAATAGATGAAATGGGGAAGGGGAAGATACCTCTTTCATGGACTGAATGGCTGTACTAGGTTTAGAACGATCAATGCGGAGATGATTCGCTAAAATATATAGCTGTCCAAATAGAGGATACCATATGATCTGCATAAAACAAACATTCCATTTGTGAAAATTAATCTCATAAGCCAAATTCATCTTGTTCACTTAATCTATGGAAAATAATGTTGGAATGAAAATATGAACAAGGGGGCCTTCTACAATCTTCAACTTTTGCCTCCTATAAACATATGTACATATCAAAATTCTGACATAGTTTAAACCAGTAATGTGCCATAAAAAGAAGGAAAGGGAGAGAGAGAGAATGCACCTCTTTCTTTGCAATGCCAACACTCCCTGTTGGGGTCAACCACATAATGAGGAAAATGTCAATGGGAGAAGCATGATTACTGATATAAATTGCTCTCTCATTGGAGAACTCTTTTCCTTCAATCTTTATAGGATTTCCTAGGATCCACATCTGCAATCAGTTTTGCCAAATGCTAATTATCAGATTGGACTTGTCTTGTGATTAAAATTATTTGTCATTCAAGTATTCCATTACTTCAAGTAGATTTCAATTCATCATGGGGCAAGTAGAACAAAAAGTTTCTTTCAATAGGGCCCTATCTGTCTGATCTTTCCATTTGGTTTTTGCAAACACAATCCCATGTGTGCCTCCCACTTGCTCTAGGCCCCAGCCCTACCCCCAACCGGGGAAAGAAAAAAAAGAATTGAAAAGAAAGGAATAAAGGACCCACACAAACATATTTTGAATTGGATGAAACTGCCATAAATTCTATCCCAAGATCAATCACAGATTGTGGCCACCTATCAAGATTGGCTAGAGTAAATGCTCAGCCTTGTGCACATAAGGGCATTTAAACAGTCATTTATTACTTTTTTGAAGAGCTTATCTCATTAATTCCAATGACAAGTGGCAAACCCTCAGTTCAAGTTAAAGGCCTAAAAACAGAAATTTGGTGACAATCAATAACCTGTATCTGTACTCAGAAAATCATCGTCTCACAGAGCAAGACCATCTTCATCAAATAAAAGAAATGACTTGAATGATGCAGTGTTTGATTTTTTTTTTTTTTTACCATTTCATCCCCAAGAAAACAAAAATCACCATCAACATCATCCAGTTCAGCCACATGGCTGGCTTAATTCAGCTGTCTCAGCAACTCTAATAACCATTTCCTCCTTATGATATCACCAGAAACCGAAGAACCAATGCCATGGCAATCAAATTGTAGAATAATGAATAAAAGCAAATATTGACAATGAATCAAACAGCTTACCAGCAATCTACCAGTCACATGGCCATAAATATTTCCTTGCTTAATTCGCTGGGAAGGCCAAGGAAGGAGCAAGACCATGATTAATGCCCAAATGAATGTTGTGACCATCATTGTCAAGAAACATGTAACAATCCTTACACAAGATATCAATGTAGAAATCCATCCATCATCATCAACAAAATCATCAGTATTTGGCTTTTGTCTTGCTACTTCTTTGCTAGAAATTTTTGGAGTTTCTCTCACATTTGGGCCAGATTTTGTATCAAGGAAGCTCTCTAATCTTCTGTGCCTCAAAAAAGAACCACTTCCAGTATTCTCCATCAAGGCTCAAGCAATGGTCAAAGTCAAGGCAAGTTTTTTTTTTATCAAACTGAAGTAGAGATTACCCTGAACAAGGCAAAATAAATAGACCATTTTCAATAAGAAATCATTTTATCTAAGTAAGAAACATCTTCAGTTGCCGAGAAACAGCATGTAAATTAACAAATTAAGCCCTGTTTCAAGGAAAAGATTTCCAATCATTCTAAATCAGATTCTAGCACTAAAAACTAAATAAAGAACAATTGCAAAGACTTCAAATCTTAAATTCCTTCTCTTTCCAGCAATTTTCTGAGTCACTAAACAGAGAAAAACATCAAGTTAAAATCCTAGTAAAAATCAACGTTAAAAGCTCTCACCGGTCATTAAGAGAAAAGATGAAAATCCAAAAGCAATCATCAAAAGCCAATAACTCTTGAAAACAGAAGAAAAACAAGACTTAAAAATTAAACCACAACCTCAAGTTTTTCTTCTTTTGACGTCAGTGTCCAAGAAAACAGACAAACAAATAAAAGCATCCATAATAAGCCAAGTCCACATATATTTGGATTAGTTGGATAGAGTTTATATATATTATATAAACCATTCGCTTCCTCTTCTTGGATTTTTCTTGGCAACCAAACAAAAGAAGTAAAGAAAAAAAACAAACCCAGTAACAGTTTTCAGTTTGTTTGTGTTTTTAACAAGTATCCAACAAAGACTTTTAACTTAAAGCTGTGAAATTTGAAAGAAAGTTCAAGAAAATGTTACAGCCTTTTTATTTTTATGGTTTTTATAAGAAGCTATGGAAAAACATGGTAAGGAAGGAGTTTTTAAGGAAGCAAAGAAACTAAGCAAGTCAAAGACAAACACCAAGACAAAACAAACTGAAAGTGAAAGTGGAAGTGAAGGCGCTAACAGGATTGTGTTTGTGGTGCATAGTTTGGTTGGAATCAAAAGGTTCTCTTTAGACAACTGAAAGATTGTTGATCCCTGTTGTTGGGGTTAGATTTTGCAATTTCGCCATTGCTGGTGTGTTTTTTTTCATTTATTTTTCGCACCAGAAATGGTTAGAAGGGTGAAATTTTAATGTTAGGATAAAGACAAGTTTAATAAGGGTTTAAAGTGGGTCCAATTTATGTTTGAATTTATGAATTTTGTTAAATTTATGACCTAAATTTGAAAAAAAAAAAAAGTAGGCCTAATATCATATCATATATCGCATGCTAAGGTGGAATGTTCTCCAACATTCCTTTTTTATGTTATTTTAATTTATCGCATAGAAACCTGATTATGAAAAGTAATATTTTCTTTTGTACTTCATATATATATATATATATATATATATATTCTTGAGACAATCCTCTGATATTATTTATTTTATTGTATAGATTTATAAATTTATAGTTAGATATAATAAAAAAAGTCACAATTAATTTTTTATCAAGATATAATTGATCACTTATGTGAATTTATTTTTTAAAAAACTTCTAAACTTGAGTAAAGAGCTTTAAAGAATAGATTTTGATTTTTGAATATAACAAAGTTTGAGAGTTTGTTATATGTAAAGAATATGATAGCACATTTACAATGCTTATCTTAAAATATGGTGCCATTTAATTTTAAATTATCTTAAAAGCTTATAGTTCTAATGGTCCTAAATTTATTATTAGAAATAACTTTTAAGATTATCCATCAATCTAATAAAGTTTTTAAAATTACTTTTTCATTTCGAAAATATTTAAGAATCTCATTTGCTTTTCTTGAAGAGTCTCCATCATCGAAAAAATTTAATCATTTATTTTTTTGATTAAATTGTTGTTTTATTGAAAATATATCTAATCTTTCCACTATTTGGATCAAAATTATAAATATTTTTTCACTTAGAAATATCTTAAATAATCATTCATTTGCGATTATTAAAAATTTTATTCTTAAAATTTATTTTTTTATATTTTATGTTTTATTTCTAAATTTTTCACCATTTGAGCCTAATTTAAAAAAAAAAAACCTTCACTTGAATATCTTATAAAAATTCAACAATTTATGATTTTTTTTTTAGATTTCATCATTAGACGATTGTTATATATTTTCAAACAAAATTTTATGGTTTTTGTTTTTTTATTTGGAAAAGAATATAGTTATTTTTATTGAAATTTAGTCTAAATTATTTTATAATTTAAGTTAAATTTAGAGAAATTTCTCACCTAAATATTTTTTAAAAATTTATCATTTGAAATTTTTAAAAATCACATCATTGGAATAATTGTTAACTCATCCCAAAATTTTATAAAGTTTATTTATTTTTTTGTAATTTAAAAATAAATATTAATTATTATTATTAAATTTTTACTTTTTGTCAATTAAATAATCAAAACATGCACTAAACAAAACAATGAATAAAATAAATAAATAAAATAAACAAACAAAAGTTTAAATAAATGAATACACACATAAATGAGTAAAAAATACCTTTCAATATTATAAATAAAGCATTACTACTTTAGTAATGTGAGCAACTCTCTCATCCATCGCAAATGTAAATGGCTTTGTGCAAGTCTCCTAAGCAAAGCCAATAGTACCTATTTGCAAGAAGTCTTGACGACTTTCATCCAAATTGGATATTTCTTTCACGTGCTTCTCTTTCAAAATTATGGCTTTTTTTTTTTTTAAAAAAAGACAAGTCTTCGTTGAAGAATACCCACAAATTTCGAGAAAGTTTTCTTCAAGCCCGACTTATGTTGTCTTACTAAAGCTTGGAGTTGTGGTTGGTAGGTGACAACAATTTCCAAGTAATGGTGTTGGTAATGGCAGGGCACTTATGCTGATTGTTTTTCCTTTTTTTTTTTTTATTTCAATGGCTATCTTTTGGTGCTCTGTTTTTTTGTTTTCGAAACTTTGGTATTTGGTATTATAAAGGCTTGAAGAATGGACCGTTTGATGATACTATGGAAGCTTAGAGACTTGTGTGGTATTGATGATAGTGGTAGCAATAGATCTGTGTTGATGGTGATCGTTCTTGTGTAGCATTAGAGGTTGCAGCAATGAAGGTAGTGTTTTGGCAAATATGCTAGTGGGATGAAGGTGTTCTCTAGTGATTTCCCTTTGTTTTGCTTACGATCATTTTATAGGGAAAAGTCCAAATCCAAGAAAGTTCCACTAGGATTGGATTCTTAAAAAAAAAACTCCAATTTATCATAGAATTAAAAACTTTGATTATTTATCGCCTAAAAAAACTTAAAAAGTTTAAGTTCAATCCAACTTCAACTGGCCAACCAAATCATTGCCCTTTGATTTTATCATTTTATTTGTTTTTTCCTTTTTTGTAAAAAAAATTATTTATAATGTATATAAAAAAAAACAATTGGACTTAAATTGAGTTTGAGATTAACAAATTTAGATCTCAGACTAAATGAGGTGCCTAAAGCTACCTTTTTTGTGTATTTTCTGCGAAATAGGAATTATACAAAGACATAAACAACTTGTTATGTTCAGCCATAACTTGATAATTATAAAATCTCAAAACTTCAAAGATTAACAATTTGAAGTATTTAAGAACTTTGCAATTCGACAATTAGTAATATAAGTTGAAATTCAAAGATTCATAATTTGAGTTCAAAGAATTATAATTTTGAAATTCAAAAGTTCACAATTCAAATATTCATAAGGTCAAGATTTGCAAGACTTTAAGATTCACAAGAATTTGATTTTAAGATTTTCAGTTAAGACACAAAGATTCATAAAATTTCAAGTAATTTAAGTTTGTAAAAATTTAAGGTTCGTAAGATTTAGATTCATAAAATTTTAGATTTCAAAAATTTTAAAGCTCGGAAGCGATTTTAAAGTTCATAAGGATTGATTATCAAAATTTTTCATATTGACTACTCTATTATGCACCTGAGTTTTGACAAAGGCTGTTCGAGAAAACACGAGGGAAACCCAAGCATCTCGAAGCGAAGAGCCAGCCATTGGTTCTTGAGAAACCAAGCTTGGAAATAAAGAAATGCATGATTCTAACAAGCATTCTCTGGTTTCGAGTGTCTAATCAACAGGCATTGATACTAGCAGCTTCTGGGGTAGCTCAGATGTTGTAGATTATGTAAAATGTTTTTGACCCTAAACTAGGTGAGGGAGCTAAACTATCCCTGGAGGTTATGACCCTAAAGTATAAAAGGCTGCATGGGATCTTCTTTGCTTTAACCTTTAGGATCAGAACTGTTTCCATTACTTGGAACCAAAGCTTTTTTTTTTTAGTTTATTGATTCATAGAAAAGCTAGCATCATGTTACTTATGCTGTCATAACTTAGTAAACAGGGAAGGACTTGGTCGTTGTTATAATCATTCAAAGATCAGGGTATGTGACTTTGTTCTGCTGTCAAAGCATATTATGTTTAGAAACCAAGGCTTCATTGGAATAGTTGGTGGAAAGGAGAGATCCAATCCCGAAATGACACGATGATACGATGGGAATCTGGGTACCGACTATCCAAATGAAGCATAAATGTCTTTGAATGGAATATCGAATCGCTATTTATCAATGTGGTAGAAAAAATGTAGAATGTTTGCAAATGTTTTATGATGTGAAAATAATGGTGTTTTCCCTAGTCCTACTTGTTTGAAGTCTTAGGCTAACTCTTTTGTCACGTGGTAATAATTATTTTTCCATTACTTTTGATTTATTGGGGTGTACATGCCATCGTTTATACATACAATATCTAAAGATATTTTTTTTTCTTATCCAATGTTGGATTAAAGTATCCTAATTAATGTATAATGCTAATATTTATATATGCAACAGCTTTCTTTTTTTTTTTTTTATTAGATGTGAGATTAAAGTAACTTATCTAATTTTTTAAAATATTTATCTTTTACCTCTTGATTTAGTAGTTAAAAATTTTTTATCAAAATTCTGATTTTGAGTTAAGATTTTTTCTCATTTTTCTCTTGTGAAGATCATATCCTCTCTTGAAAAAAAAAAATGCTTGATGTGACATTCTTTCCTACTTAATCTCGTAACATTGTCATCATGGTTATCACTCTACCTAGTCTTTTTTAGAGCATTTGGGTACGATCAAACTTTACCATCATGTTTTATTTCGGTATCCTGTCAAGTGATCAAACTCGACTGCTCCTCACAGCAGCCACCCCGTCTATCCCACTGGGACGTTTAGCATAAGAGTCAGATGAGTCAACATTGACTTTGATATCATTTATTATATGACTAGTTTATTAAAGCATGCAACACCAATACTTAAAATGCCCAGCAGAGAAAATTGGTTGTCATGTTGCATGAAAAATTAAAAGAAAAAAATTCATAGAGTCGACAGTGAAAAACGAAAAATTGATTTTCCATTTCATCAATTTTCTCTGGTTTTTCTCATTTCTGTCGTTTTTAGTACATTTATGACTTGTGATATTTTGTTCGATAGCCCTTTCGCAAGTACCTTCTATATCAGGTCTTTACATCATCAATCAACCAGCAAGGAGACAGCAAAAAGAGTAACCCTCGCATGAGGATGAAACAATGAAACCTGTCTCAAGGCTGGTTGCTCTCAAAAAATGAAAATTTATACTAACAAAATAAAAAATTTTCATGGAAGCTTTGTGCTAAAATGGCCATTAGATGCCAGGACTCAAACGGGATGATTAGCAGGGAACGGAGGCTGCAAAAATGGAATGTGGCTTGGCACCACTAATGGTTGCTGTCCACCGGCAATGAAAGGTTGAGGTACAGAAAGCTGCAATGCTTGGCCTGGTGGATTTCCTACAATCACAAAGGGTTGCATTGAGAACAAAATGACATTGCAATATATCTCAAAAGTACAATAATTCGGTTATGGCATCAATTACATTCTCCTTTTAAGGCTATTTTGTTCTATTCAACAAGGACAAGGGACAAATTACACATGCAAATACCTTGGTGTTTCGGAAATTGAACATGATGCGGAGTCAATGGAGGACATGCAGGTACCAGAGTGATAGCTGTTGCACCCTGAAGCAAATCCTTCATAAAAAATAGCTGTTGCACCCTGAAGCAAATCCTTCATAAAAAATTAAACACAATTCATTAATTAAGTAATAAAACAACACTTCTCTCCTTTGACTACACGAATACGAGAGTGTCTATTTGCAGTATGCCATTTTTCTTTATCTGTTTTTAAATTAACTAACAGGGCAAGTCACTGTATGACTCTAAATTCCCTCACTTTATCCACACTGGGGACATTTTTGCCTGGGAGGGAAAAATTATGCATCATATTTAATGCCGTCACTAATGGACAGGATGAAAGTAAATGAGATTGGTTCTCCTGTAACAGAGAAAAAAGAAGAGGAAAATGACAAGGAAAAAGTAAGATGGCTAGACAAATCATCGGCTATGGTTGTCCAGATGAAATATTGTTGTAAACTCATAGAGCAAAAAATTTGGAAGGACAGATCAAAAGATTTGTCCTGCTATAATACATATGAACTAATAAGTTGTTTAATGTAAGTATTGCTCTAATTGGGACGCATCCAAGATTCATCCGATTGTCCTACCACATCCTAAATGTGGATTCTCCTGCCACAACCTAAATGTGGGCAAAGATAGATCTCAGCCAAGTACTGGTCTTATGAGTCTCTAGCAAATAGTCTATATTTTCTTTTAAACACTAGAAACTCTCATGTTAGGGTGCTTTAATGATAACAAGGCCAATCCATTAGTTTGAGGGTATCGCATCTTACATGAGAAACAGGCAGATAAATGAGCTGTCCCATCCGTCCAAACATAACCTAGAGAAAGAAAGGGGTGGACAGAAAGAGATTAGTAACTCATAAATGGCGC